ATTGTGATTTATTATTTGCATTATCATAGCGCCTAGAACCCCAATGGTAAGCAGGCAGGATCTCTGTTTTTATATCCCACCCCTTAGACATCATTAGAGCAGTTATACATATTTAGTTCCTTCTGTTGTGATCCTTCCTCATAAATCAATCCCCCAGACTCCTAGGTTATGCTTGATTAGATTTGTAGGCTCCTCAGTTGGGGGCAACATGAAGGGGACAGAGTGGGTAGTGCAGTGCTCAGCAACTTTCATATAAAGAAAAATCTTCTGTCACATTTGGCAAAGACTATGGTGTTTTGGCTGCGGGAGTATTGCATGGACTGATACCTGTGAGAGCAGAATTGTTGTTTCACTTCCTAATTTCCCCTGGGTAATAAGAAGATGGGCTTACACAGAATCTAGTGTATAGCAAAGAGAGAGTCTTTTTCTACCACCCTGAGGCTAAAAATAGGGCACTGACCTAAAGTGAGCTTTTTCTGGTTTCCGAAAAATGTTATAAAAATGGACCAGCTAGGCTATAATTCAGCTCTCTCAAGATGACAAATTAAAGGCATGATTCCTTCTGCGTAGTCATGGTTTATTGTCCTGCTGGACCTGATTCACTGCTGATTTACCCTACTGCCAATCAGGAGTCACACCATTGAAGTCAGTCGAGCTGCATCAGTGTAAAACTAGTATGAGATCAGAATCCAGCCCATTACCCTTATGGGCCCAATCCTAGCAGGTGTTGAGCACTTGGACTGCTCATTGTCTTTGGAGGGTGCTCAGCACATTGGCAGATCAGGCTTTGTGTGTAGTGTAGATGAATTACAGTAGCCACCGCAGATACTGCTAATTAAAGTGTCATCTGTCCACAGATCTAAAAATAAATGGATAAATCAGACCAAGAAGACAGTCGGCTAATATAGTCAGCCCTTTGTCTTTTAATAAACAAATGCATATGAACTATATTTCAGTGTTGGATCAAGGATCTGGGGGGGGGTGTGTGTGTGTAAAAACACTTAGCAGAGCAGTGTGTGTGGCAGCTCAAGTGCACAGTTTCCACCGCAAACATATTTGTGTTTGCTGAACAAGTGCTGCCTTAGGAAGGCAGGGAGAGGTGGGAGCAGGTGTCAGAGCAGTGACCTGTGGTTGCTGCTCACTTTCAGAGCTTCAGTTTACAAAGCACGTAGGGAAATGACTTTTTCACAGTTAAATTTAGGCTTTAAGGGGTGGTTTTAAAGATTGTAGACCAGGCTGAGAAAGGTGCCTGCTCACACCAACAGCCCATGCAGTCTAAGTCCAAACTGATTTCCCTCCCTGGGGTTTGGCTTTAGAAAATAGCAAGAAGATAACACAACAGCAAAGTTCAGATCAGACTTTCTTTTCAGGCTTCACTGCTCCTAGGGTGCCTTGCTCAGGACTGCTTAGATGTACCCTAGTCTCCTCTCTCCAAAAAGTCACTCCCTTATATCCAGGTGTAGTCGGAGCCACCTGCCTCACTGAGTCAGCAAAACCCTCTTTATCTTTTTCCAGAAAGATTAACACCAGCTAAAAAAGCAAGGGTGTTTCAGGCAAAAATTTCCAACCTGTTGTCAGGCTGTCTGGAGTGGCTTGTGACCATGAGTGCTTACCTCAGGGCAGACTGTCAGAAAACAGGGCAGCCACCCCAAACTGGTGGTCTGATCTATAATTAGATTTCACCAAGCCAGTAACAAATATGAACTCCAGGATCACTATACCAATCTTACCATGGAGTCACAGACAGTCCCCTTAGACTCTCCAGTCCATCTTGCCACCCAGACAAACTGGACTTTGAGATAAGAGGTCACTTATACCAAAAATCACATCACATTTAGATTGCTTCCAGTTCCAAGAGACCAGTCACTTTCCCCAGATCAATTGGTACACTAGATCTTACACAAAGGACAACGATGGAAGCCAATTCTATAGTAAACTAACGAAAAGTTTATTAGCTTAGAAAAGGAAATGAGAGTGATTGAGGGATTAAAGCAGATAAAATATATGCACAGGTGAACCACAGTTTGTAATTCAAAATGGTGGCAGTGATGTAATAAACTGCCCGTTTCCCAAAAGTCTTCTCAGGGTACCCAGGTTGTCTCTGGGAATCTCCACTTTGCATCTGGTACCCTTCCCTATAAGAGTCCAAACAGTCCGGAGATGCAGGATCTGTCCTTGAATCCATACTTATACCTGCTTCTCACAGAAACCAAGCAGACAGTGACACTACCCATACGGGCTCTTCCTTTCATGACAGAGAGTAAGGAATGCAGTTACAGTCTTTGACCTCCGACCATCACACACAATGACCACTTGCTTTGAAATTAGCACTTTTTAGTTTAAGTTCTTCATTTGCATTCCACAATGCTGCTTTGTTATTTGATGGGTTATTTAGTTACAGGGTGTGACGCTGCATTCCTTACGTTTATGGAAATATGCTTATGAGTGTAAATATAATGTAACTGGAATATGCTTTACGCAAAAGGTCTCTTGTAAGGTATCATTACAAAACTTATAATCTACTGAGTGTGTTCATCCGATTTGTATGAATGTATCATTCTTGTATCTGAAGCTAGAAATATGAAGTGTATTACTCTGAACTCCTATTGTAACTATGAAAAGTGTGGGCCATTAATGGTGGCTTTGAATCTTGATGGCTCCCATCAACTAGGACAATTGGTGGTAAAAGGCTTTCTTTACTTGCAAGTCTCCACTGATACGTGCGGGTCAGTCCTGGAGGAATGGAGCAGGGCATGTGACCATGTCACCTGGTACTGGAATCCATCTTTAACCTGGTGCTTTTCCATTTAGAAGGAGGGGTGGGAACCCAGAGACAGACAAAGGATTCCCGCCTTGTGCCAAAGCTATAAAAGGGGGTGGAACAGAACAAAGGGGGCTGCAGTCATGAGAAATCCCCTAGCTACCACCTGAGCTGGAACAAGGACTGTACCAGGGGAAAGGATTCGTCCCAGCTAGGAAGGAGTCTAGTCTGTGAAAAAAGCTTACTGGAACATCTCTGAGGGTGAGATTTACCTGTATTCAGTTTCATACTGTATTAGGCTTAGATTTGCGTGTTTTGTTTTATTTTGCTTGGTAACTTACTTTGTTCTGTCTGTTATTATTGGAACCACTTAAATCCTACTTTTTATATTTAATAAAATGACCTTTGCTTATTAATTAACTCAGAGTAAGTAATTAATACCTGGGGGAGCAAACAGCTGTGCATATCTCTCTATGTGTTATAGAGGGTGGACAATTTATGAGTTTACCCCGTATAAACTTTATACAGAGTAAAACGGTTTATTTGGGGTTTGGATCCCATTGGGAGCTAGGTGTCTGGTTGCTAAAGGCAGGAGCACTTCTTAAGCTGTTTTCAGTTAAATCTTCAGCTTTGGGGCATGTCGTTCAGACCCTGGGTCTGTGTTGGAGCAGACGGGAGCATATGGCTCGACAAGACAGGGTTCTGAAGTCCCAAGCTGGCAGGGAAAACGGGCTCAGAGGTAGTCTCAGCACATCAGGTGACAGTCCCCAGGGGATCTCTATGACTGAACCCGTCACACGGGTATCCACAATGTCAATGCTTGCTGCTACATTATAAAATGGGATACAGATAAGTGGAAGCAATGCAAGTAACATCCCACTAGTTTTTCATGAAATTTAAACACCAAATATACTCTTACAAATTTAACAATCACTTTGATCTATACTAATACACAAGTGAATTGGCCTGGGGCTCTGGAATGAATTGGCATCTAGCCTGCCAGCGTCATATCTGTTACAAATGTATTTTTTGATCATTTCTTTCCCTTTGTGACAGGTTCCTACTATTGTGGTGAAGATGTAAAGAACGCATGGAAGGAGACTCCAGAAAGAGCATGCCGAGTGCTTAAAATAAGCCTCATTTAGGGTCCCTGAGAAGGGAAGCCTAAGAGTTGGCATTCAAATATTATGGTGATGAAGATGGTGCATGTGCTTAGAAAGCAAGACAGCTAGATGGATGAGGGGATGTGTCCATGCACTCTCCTTCCCACAGAAACTAATTAGCAGCATGTATAATAATGACTATCTCCTGTATTTATGATGCAGAAGTCTTATTGAATGGGAGTCCATTGAAATAGCCATAAAGTGCAGCGTAACTTTTCTGTGCACTGTTAAACACCTCTTGTGCTTAACCCCAGAGTGGCAGTAGTCAGTGGTGGGTGAACAATCCTTGAATATATTATATATAGATATAGATTTGCCCCAATCCTGAAGCCCTCACTCAGACCTGGAGCTCGTAGACCTATTAGTTACAAATAGCGTTTAGAGATTTTCCCCCTTTGGGGTTGGCAAGTCATTCACATTTTCTTTGAATGTCTTTATATTTGCCAAATAGTTTGAAATGAATAATTATAATAATTATCAGGCCGTTGACTTCAACTATTCAGTGTCTGTTAGTGGTGGTATCCAAGTCAAATGCTATTATTTTTGCTCCCTGATTGGGTTACTGAAACATGCTGAACGGGAGGCTAACAAACAACAAAGAGGAAATAACATTTTCAGGCAAATAATGATTTATGTTGAAATTTGTGAAACTTTTGCATGGTAGCTCCAGTTATATTTTGCTCAGACAAAAATCAATGAGTCAAATCCTTAGGGTCAGATCCTCGGTGACAGCTCCACCCATATGTCCTAAAAGATTCCAGGGAATCCAGCATTTCCTCTGTCCCCTTCCCAGCTCCTCCCACCTGACTTCCTGCTAAAGTTTTAAAGAAACAGCACATATGTCCCCCATATGGAAAGGCGGGCTCCAGGCATGAAGGCATACACCCTGGCACAATCTAAGCCCAAGTTAGGGGACAGTGGAAAATAAACATGGTTAAACCAGGGTTCCTTCACATATTTGTATCATGCAGGGTGGGTTTTTTTCTATCTGCATTGACCGGAAGGGATCATTTTATAACATGGCTGGGCCTCACAATTGTGTGTCACAGCCCTGTTGCATATAATTTTTTTTTTTCAGAGACTTAATGCGCAAAATCTTTGTCCGTGTTGAAATGTCTGAACACAGTCTTATCTCCAATTTCCTCTGGGTTTGGTGAACAGAGGGAGGAGAACAGAAAGATGACAAGGACAATAAGAATTGGACATGATTCAGTGGAGTGATGTGGGTGGGCAACTCAGAGACCCAACAGTTTTTGCCCAGGGTCTGTTGACACTTAGTCAGAGTCACAAGGCAGACAACTGTCATATTTCCATTGAACTGAAATCTTCAGAGGGATTGGGAAACTTGAAATGGAGGGGCAACATCTCACCACTCCCCAAGGAAAGTCTGTGCTAATGTATGCTAGAACATGAATGCATGGTTTCCGTGATGGCACATAGCTATTCTGATGATTTCCAGTATGGATCAATAAATCACCAGACAGAATGAATGTTTAGTGCCAGATGGTGGTACACAGAAAATCAGACCATTTGAAGAATGTTTTCTTGGGCTGGGTGAGACTTTGCTGGTAGGCTTGGGAGTAGAAGGTGGGCAGTTTTCCTCCTGGATATTTTCATTAATAGATGGGGTGAATCAGCTCCAGAAGAGGTAAGTATCCTAAAAGAAATAGGGGACCAGATGTAAGGCAGCATAACTCCTTAGATTTCAATGCATCATTGACCTCAGTGACTGATTTACATGAGCTGCGGATCTGTCCGAGGTGAGTGTTAGCTTGAAGGTAATTCAGATATGACCCTCCTTACTACACCTTTAAACTAGCAATGGGCTTGTTAAGTTGGCCAAAGCTACTATGTTCCTACTGGCTTTTCAGAGGTGGTACTTCCTTCTGTGAAAAAAACAGCATGGGGGTTGGGAAGGCAGCACAGTGCCAGATCTTTGAGACAGCACTGGTTGAAGATGGCATTTGAGGAAAACACCTGACTGCACTGGAGGTAGGTGGGTCATTTCATCCTGCACCATCTTTAGTTCCAGTCTATTTCCATATACCCTGACTCCCACCAAACTCATCTGCCATCTGTTCCATGTCCTCTGGGCTCAGAGCATTGAGTAATTAATCTCTGGAATTCATTGCCACATGATAGAGCGTGGTAAGATTTAAAAAGAATTAGACATTTTTATAGATACTAAAAATATCATCCACAGTTATATTAATTAGGGCAAACAATATCATTGCTCATGCTTAAAGACATAAACTGACCATCGGACACATAGGATTAGAGGAAAAACTTCCCACATACGCATGTTATTGCAAAATTGCCCATTATGGTGGTTTTGACTGCTATCAGAGACAGGATACCCAAATATATGGACCTATGGTCTGAACTTCTATGAAAATTCCTATGGTCCACAGTTATTTCTGAAGTAGCTCCGCCAGGCAATTGGTAACATAAATTGAGCTAAAGGTTTTTAAACAAATAGCGGGTTCAAGTTAAATATTAACTTTTGGTCATTCCAACTCCGATAGCTTTGGCCTTCATGTTGATCATTTAATGTTCTCCTTTTTGTTGCCTCAGCAACTGCAGCCCTAGAAGACCTTGATTTTCAGTCAGCAAAAAAATAAAGTTTGTGCTGAAATTTGTTTAGGCCTCTGTTGATAAGTGTCTGTGCTCCGAGTCAATTTTCAGACAAACAAGGCCTGGAACTGTTGGAAATGTAATGTGTGTTTTAATGCAATTGTTGCATAATATTACCCAGATGTTTGGTTTCAGAGCCTCAACACTGTAAAAATCAAATACCTCCTAATTCATATTCTTCTTCTTAAACAAAATGAGTGACAACCACTGCGTGATTTGGCAATCCAATAGTTCATTAATCACACAACACACAATTAATTGTGCAAAGAACATGTATGCCCTCTTTGTTGCACTAGTGAAACATACATATGCAGAATGGACTGAATTTACAAACAGTGGGCTCATACATTTCTCCTTGAAAATATGTACTTTCACCCATTGTGTTTCCAAGTATCGGATTTGCATTAGAGATGGGCAGAAAACAAAACTCCAGGTATGAAGGACACACACACACACACACACACACACACACACACACACACACACACACACACACACACACACACGACAC